TTGAAGATCGTGTCTGGAAGGTGGGAAACAAGCGTGAGGTGGAGGCTGTGACTGGCGAGGCAGGAGCAGCTGCTCAGATCAGCCAGGGCCCGGGAGGCCCGGCCACTTGGTTTGGGCCAAGTCTGTGCTTCAGTGCTGCGCCATCGCAGCCCCAGACGGACCTCGTGAGTTCGCACTCGGTGGTGGTCAGCAGCAGACGGGCCTCGCTGTGGGGCCAGCACCCAGACGCCAGGGCTGCCTACGCCAGAGATCCCTGTCTGGCCTTAGCTGAGGGAGGAGAGATAGTTCAAACTGAGTAAGAGTTTGAATTTTGACTATTAGGTGAAATGAACTGGAATTGTACCATTCTTAGCCTTGACTGGACTTTTCAATGCCAAAATAGAGGGGCGACTCATTTATTATTTACTTATCTACTTTATTCATTTCTGGACTCCCAGGGCTTAGAGAGATGCTGGTCATAGACCCTGTTTTAATGGACATGTGACGAATGAACTGAACAAATGCCGAGAGAGATTTCATTCAGGGGTGGACAATCAATCAGCCCAGAGAGTGGGCTTGAAGGAACAGCAGGAGAAAACTGAATCCCGCTCTTGCTTCTATGCTATGGTGCCCTGCTCATTTAGTAGACTGGGTGTAAGTATGTGGCCTTCATCTCTCTACGGATACCCAAGGACCCAAGGATCTGGCTCACCGAGCCGAACCCGAGAGACCGATGTACGAAGTCAAACATCCTGGTTCCAGCAACTGCCAGCATGTGCTCACTCACTCACTCACTGAGAAGGAAGGTTCTGCTCAGGAACCTACTGATGTCAGCACCAGCAAGTAAGTAGGGGCTGAGATCTGCAGGCACTGAACAAAGTAAGACTTTCACGTACACAGAACAGCCTTCTATTGGAAGGAGACCCACCTAGGACTTTCATAGCTAGAGAGAAGTCAATGTCTGGCTTCAAAGGACTGGCAGACTCTCTTGTTAGGGGCTGACACAGAGGGTGACTGATTTGAAGCCAGTGCTCACTGGCCACCCGGAAAAGCCTAGGGTCCCTAAGAATTATGCTAAATCTACTCTGCCTGTGCTGTTTAGATGGAACAACAGAGCCTGGCCACAGCACATGTTCACTGTATCGGTTGCTGAATATTTTAAGCCCACCATTAAGACTAGTTCTCAGTAAAAGGATTCCTTTCAAAATATTACTGCTCACTGACAAAGACTTGGTCACCCCAGAGCTCCAATGGAGATGCACAAGATGACTGCTGTTTTCATGTCTGCGAACACAACGTCCTCTGCAGCCCACGGCCAAGGAGTGATTTTGATTTTCAAGTCTTACTTAAGGAATACATTCCGTAAGGCTAGAGCTGCCACAGTGATTCTCCTGAAGGCTCTGGGCAGTCAACTGATTTGCCATTCTAGACGTCATTAGTAACATTCATGAAGCACGGGAAGAGGGTAAAATATCAATATTATGGGGAGTTTGGAAGTGGATTCCAGCCCTCAAGGACGACTGAGGGGCTCAGGACCTCGGCCAGGAGGGCCCTGCCGTGGGAACAGCAAGAGTGCCGGAGTCAGAAGTGCAGCCGGAAGGTGCGATGGATCGCTGCGTCTCAGGACGACCCTTGACTGGATGAGGGGCCGCACCTCGGGATGAACAGGGAAAGTGGTGCCTTGAGATGGAATCTACTCCTGGTGAAGACACTGTCAAGACTGTTGAAATGCCAACAAGGGATCTAGAATATTCCATAAGCTCAGCTGAAGCAGCAGCAGCAGGGTCTGAGAGACTGACTCCCATTTTAAAATGCTATCAATCTCACGTTATAGCAAAATTGTTCATGAAAGAGTCAATAGGTGTGGCAAACGTGACTGCTGAAATGGCTGCAGCCACCCCAGCCTTCAGCAAGCACCACCGCCATCAGTCAGCAGCGGTCCACACCGGCAGGACCCTCCACGGGCAAAAGACGGAGACTCACTGAAAATGCAGGCAACAGTGAGCATGTTTTAGCAGCCAAGTATCTTGTAATAAAGGTATTTTTAAAGACATAATGCTATTGTACACTTAAGAGACCACAGTATAGTGTAAATGTAATTTTTATATGCCCTGGGAAACCAGAAAGTTCTTTGGATTCGCCTTATTGTGGTGGTCTGGAACCAAATCCACGCTGTCTCCGAGGTGTGGAGTCCTCCACCTCGTGGGGAACACCCATACACCAGCAGCTGGTGAGAGAAGAGAAGCTCGCCCTCAGCAATCAGAGGAGCAGCAAGGGTGCCTGACCACCACCTCCCTGCACTCCCCAGGTGGGCCGACAAGGCAAGGAGTGGCAGCATGCCCAGCAGTAAGGCTCAAAACTGGCTTTATTCACGACTGATGTGACTGTGTGTGTAGACGAATTGAGGAGGACTAAGTGAGCTCAGCAAAGCTGCAGATATCAGGCCAGTATCAACACCTGCGTTCCCACTGATTGGCATCCAACAAATGGAAAACGAGGTTAAGCAGTGTCACCAAGACCGTAAGATACTCAGGAAAACAGCTGACAAAGGAGGTGTAAGGTCTTCGCTCACACTGACAACAGCAAGGCAGTAGTGAAGTGAAAGATCTAAAGAGAAAAGACATTAACTTCATGTTTCTCAAGACTCAGTGTTTTTAGATGTCTGTATTCCCTAAACTGATGGATAGATTCAATGAAATTCCAACCACAACAATCCCTCTGCCAGCTTTTTAGATCAAGATACACTGAATACAGTTAAGAAAATAAGCACTCCCAGAATGGGGGGAAATATACAGAAAACAAGTGTCTGGCAAGACTAACAACAAGGAGGTGGAAGGAAGTCCTACCACTCAGTAATGCAGTGGTCAGCAGCCCGGTTTGAAGAGGGGCAGACGATTTCAGCTTTTCATAAAAAAGATCCGCGGCCAGTAAGTACAGGAAAGATGCTCACTGAGTGAGGGGACACCGAGACACAAATCAAACGAGCTGGGACACGTACCTGCAAGATGTCTAGAGTGACACCGGACTGATACCAAGCCCGGGTGAGAATGTGAAGCCGTGGGGAGGTTGACACACTGCTGCTCGGAGTAGCAATGGCGTAACCACTGTGGGAAATGGCTTGGCAGACTTTAGACATACACATACGGTCCTAAGTTCCTCACTCATAGCTGTTTGCCCACGAGAAATGGAAATGTGTTATTTGCACATAAATTCCCACAGTTACTTCATTAATACAAACAGTGGAAACAACTCCAGTGACCCACAGTCATCAACAGGTGAGCCGGGAAAGTGGCTGTTAGTCAATCCCATGGAAAACCATGAGGAATAAGCACAATGCACTGGTACACGCATCAGTGTGGGCGCCCCAAACTCCCAGCAAGTGACAGTCATACATCCAGGAGCGTGAGACTGCAGCTCTGGGGGCAATCTGGTTTCAGACCCTGCGGTGCCAGGTATGGGAATGGGGACCAAGCTGGGTTCGGAAGCGCTGCTGCCGGTGGGGCGCTCACCCGACCGCACTCCCCAAGAACTGCAGGTAGGCACACGAACTCACCCAACTGTTCTTTCCGTGGGTTCTTTCTGTGTGTCAGTTAGATATTAATATAGTTGACAAAAGATAAATCGGGGTTGCCACCCTTCTGGGGAAGCAGTGATGGGGAGACATGTTTTGGGGGTGCTGGCACTATTCTGTTTCTGAATCTCACTTACAAGTGTATTCCTTTGTGAAAAATTCTGTAAGCTCTATGTTTATGTACCTTTTATTTAAATTAGTCTTTAATTAAATAAAGTTCAATTGAAAATACTCAGTCTGAGAGATGGAGGGCAATGTCGTGAACAGGCTGAGATCGCTTCCTGCCTCTCCCACACCACCTGAGTGCGCGAAGCCGCGGTGGTGGTCCGCCTCCCCAGGCAGTTCTTACCTGTGGGACAATAAACCCCAGTCGCCTAGAGGCCCTTTGTGGGGCGCTCGGCCCGCTGAGCCAGCACACCCTGGGCCGCGGCCCCTGCTGGGCTGCTCGCCCGTCCACAACCCACAAGCCGATGTGCCACCGCCATTAGCTGTCTCCACGCGTTCTCATCTCAAATGCAGTTCTTTTCCTTCCACTTATGAGGCGTGACACTCACCTGCACCTCTCTGTACCAGAAGAAAGGTCAGGTAAGGAGGCAAAGGGCATTAATTTCAGGTACCAGTTGAGATTGTCACTCCAAGGCAGGTTTTCTCAACTCGGGGTGATTTGGTCCCCCTCCCTCAGGATACTGGGCAAAGTCTGGGACTGCTCTGTTGTCACAGCTGGGAGAGGAGTGTCACTGACTTCTCACGGTGGAGACCAGGGATGCTGCTAAGCATCTCAAAGCACCCAGGCAGCCTGACAGCCAGGCCTGTGGAGCCCATCGCCATTCATACCGTCTCAGCTTATTTCATCTCACCGCCATCGAAAAGATGAGGAGCTAATATCCATGAGACCAAAGAATGAACACAGAGATGAGAGAGAGGATGGCGTTGACCTTTGTCAGATACAGTGACCGCCACGCAGCCGCGGGAGAAACTGGTTTATGCACACGAGAATATGTAATTATCTGGAACATCCCGTCAACCCTCTACTGCTCAGCCCTGCTCCCAGCTGCTCTCCTTGTAGTCCCCAGGGCTGCAGGTTCTGTTTGCTCCAGCTCTGTGGCTCGGAGATTCTGACACGATTAGAGTGGTCTAACCACTCCCTTAAGAAGGCTACTTTGTAGGCACAGTCTTCTTGGGCTGAAATGATTGACGACATCAAGACTGTGAAGGGAGCGCTTTCATAGATGAAGTTCTGTCTCAACTTCTGCATTTAACAAGACAGAACTAAAAGGGTAACTTATGCCAGGCCCCAATATACTTGGGGTGCTGGTGCAACTTGTCTAAAAGACAAAGAAAAAAAAGAAAGAATTATTAAGCACCTTCCTGTATGTTTTATCTGATAAATCGCCTGAAAAAGTTTTAAATGGTTTGAAGGACTAGAACCAAAAGAATAATACACCAAGAATTTTACTGGTAACACCTTTTTAATAGGCCAAAGTAACTGTACAGTTCATTATATTCTTCCTGAGAATAATTTATATCCCCCGACAAACTAAAGGGAGGGTATATTTTTCAAAATTATTTAACAGAATGGATGGTATAACCGGACATCAGAAGAAAACCAAATCTCTCTGCTTTGTTTAATTCTCTCCTGGGAAGACAGACACAATGAAGGGTTAGTTAACTCCAGTGGCTGTAAAACAGTCACCATGGCTTTAATCTTTCTTTATAAATTATATAAAAATGGAAAATGGGGATGGTTCCAGAATGTCTCCTCAGTGCAGTCTGGAGGTGCTCTTGTACAAAGCATTTCAGCTTCCAAGAGAAATAACATCGTTACAAAAAACTGGCACATTATTCTGGTGAAAAAGACGAAAGGTTTCTAGTGTTGTTCTACAGCTAGTTTCCAACCAAAATGCTCCACAGATCCACATGGAAGTGGAGGCGGGGAAGACAGGTTGCTGTTCTTCTGAAATGACTCATGTCTTCAAAATGCAGCTTTTATATTCTTTCTCTGTAAAGTGGTATCAGCATGTTGCAACTGAGGAGTGTTTCAACGACAAAAATTCCAGTCTGGATAACGATTCTGCGGCAGAAAAGGGACCCTGAGCCCCACGGACTCCCCAGGACTCCGCCTCACCCGTTCTCCCCACTGCAGCCGGGCTGGTTCAGGACCAGTGGGATCGCTGCCTTGGCCATTTCCACAAAAACATACCCTAATGTGAACATAATCTGTTCTTCATGACTCTTACAAGCCTCCTCATGTACAATTTCCATTCTTGGAAAAATGCCACGTTTTGGATCCTGAACTTTTCTGAAGACCATGATTCAAAAAGCAAGGCAAAGCAAAAATCAGACTCAAATCAAAATGTGGTTAAACTTATGTGAGAAAGATGAGTCTCCACCAGCTGTCAGTCAAAAGAGCTGGTGCCGTAAGTGCTGGCGACCGAGGACGGCGGGCTCCTTGCGGCTGGGGTGCCACAGGACCTCCTCAGCAGGGGGTGGGGAAGGGCTCCGCAGGCATGCTCAGTGCGGCCGCGGCTGCCCGAGCACTTTCAGTCTTGCCTGGTCGATGACGTCCAGTAAGTTCTTGGCGTCCACGGCCAGGGCGTGAGCGGCGGTCAGCATCTGCTTCTTGTACTCCTGCTGCAGGCTGGTCATGACATACTGCTGGGCCAGTTTCATCTTGTTGATGAGCTCACCCAGGTCGGAGTTCAACAGCTTCTGGGCCATCTCAATCTGGAAGGACAAGAGACAGGTCAGGCGAGCTGCTTTCAACAAGCTCCGCAGAGAGTTTCCACATACCTTCCCAGGAGCCTCCAGGGGAATAAACTTTCTTCCCGGTAAACAAATCTTCCTGACAGACAACAGGACGTAAAACCAATGTTCCCTCTAGAAAATCAGCCAAGACAGCGTCAGCACCCCTCTGTTGCTTCCACGGACAGCCTCGGTGACACTGTGCCCTCCATTCTGTGGCTGTTACTTAGACGTCACTGACCTCGGTGACTGGCAGGGCTTTTCTCTGTTTCTTAATTGAATGACAGAACATGACAGAACCTCAGAGGTCATCCAGGTGAGAGCCCCTCACATCAGAGTGGCTGGCTGAGGACGTAAGTGATTTTCTAAGTCACCCGGGCAGCTAGTTTCCAGTTTAAGACAAAAATCTGGGTCTTGACTTCCAGTCTAGCACACTTTCCACTATAGCACCTATGCCTCAGACACGCCTCTGCTACACAAAGGATGGCACGAGACATTCACCCCACTCTGATGTAAACTCTAGACTCTTCCAAACTGAACAGGGGTTGGAAGTGGAGCAGCAGTGCTGGAGGCAGCTGCAGAACATGACTGTCACCCTACAGGATTGGAAGGCTCATCCTAGGGGTGCTTATCTGTTCAGTCAATAAGGATTCACCGCTTGTTCTTTTAACATTTCCTGAGTGCTTGCGATGTACAAGGCCCTTGGTGGTGTGGACACAGAATGGACAGACGGGTTCATGCTCAGTCCAGTGTGGAGGGGGCATGCATGGAACCTCCTGTAACACTCTGGAGTGACTCACACAATAGGAACAGCCAGAGAAGAGAGCAATTCATCCATTCTGAGATGGTCAGAAAGACTTGACAGAGGAGAACTCACCTGAATTTGGCCTAGACTGTAAAAGCAAGCTGGCTTCAACTCTGAGGGGCCTCACGTGCCCTACCAAGTTGACCTTTGCCCTAATGACAATGGAGAGGTCCAAGAGATTTTCAGGAACAGGAATTACATGATCTAGAGAGGTGTTCTAGAAAGATGGCTATGGTGGCAGTGTGGAGGCTGAATGGAGAGGAGTGGAGAGCCCAGAGTCAGAGAAAGCAGCTGAGAGGCTGCTGTGCTGATTCAGGGAGGGGGGATGACGCAGTGAGGACGGAGGAGCAAGGCCCCACTGGAGGCTGGATGAGCCCTGGAAGGTGAGCAGCTGTGAGGACTTGTGTGTGAGAGAAGGGGGCTCCTGGGGGCAGGGTCGGCAAGTGCGGGGCAGTCCCTGTGCCTGTGGAAGCAAGCCGGGAACAGCAGAATGACAGCCAACAGACGGCTGGTGGCCAGAGGTCCCCTTAAAGCACAGAGTTGGAAGGCATCAAATATTTGGAGCTGTAGAAGCAAGCAGGGGAGAAATGGCAAGGAGAACAAGCGTCCTATAAAACACAGTGGGTAGCAGCTTGGGAAGGTCACACTCAGGGCACAGAGAAAAACCAGAGGAGGCCGGAACTGTGAGAGAGGAAGGCCCTGAAGCCAAGTGGGGGCATCTCACTGAGGGCAAGACTAGGGGGGCACAGCCTTTGGAGACCCAAGAACACTTCCAGCAGCGAGATTAGGGATGCCTGGAGCCCAGGAGGAGCTGGCCCAGCATGTGTGGAGGGGTCAGCAGGATCACAGTAAGGCTCCTCTTCTTCTTTAAAAAAAAAAAAATTAAAAATATATATGCACAAAGAAGGGAGCAATCTTTGTGTAGAAGAATCAGGATGGATAAAGAGATTATTTCAGGCTTTATCACCTGAAGTAGGAATTTAGAAATGGTCCTGTCAAAATATTCATTTGTTAGGGTATCACTTTCTTTCCTCTGGTATATGGAACTTCTCCACTTTTTAGCAGAATTCTTGCTCATTGTGAAACACCAATTAAAGTCCCAATAAAGGAGGTAAACTAGCTAATCCCCTAATTAGCTAGGAATATAAAGTCATACTGTGCAGGCAGTCAGAGGCATTTTCCAAATGATTTAAGTGGTTTTGTGGAGGTGCACTGCCGCCATTTACAACGGGACCACCGACGGGCTACGATCGGTCTGCTCACAGGAGCCTCCATCACTTGCCCACGACGTGCCTCGGGGGTAGTGCTGCTCTGGGAGAGATGCGACACCACTCTAGACGGGCAGCCTGGTCGGACCAGGAGCGAACCGCAGCCGTTACAGAACGCCCCGTGGCTGTGTCAGCAATGCTCTATAAAATAGTTGGCCAATGTCTGGAAAGACAATGAGTGCTGGGAAATGCTCTGGAGGAAAAGAGACGGACAGACACAACATGTGACGTCACCTAGGTGGTCCTGCACTAGTGGGAAAGCATGCCTGGGATGCTGGTCACTCCCACAGGACCCGCGGACTCGAAGAGCACACGGACGCAGCGCTCAGCTTCTAGGATGTGACCGGGACCTCAGAAAGCACTAGAGGGCAGGAGGGTGTGGTACACACACTCTGCTTTCCACCGGCCAAAGGGAACGTGGGTATGGACAGCCCGGGAGGGAGAATGAGAACGCACATGCTGTGAAAGTGGAAGGTGGGGAACTGGGTCAAGATCCTAGGGAAGTCTCTGTCCTAGTCTTTAAAAATCATTAAAAGGCAAAGCAAAGCAAGCGAGAATCCTGCCTGTTGTGCTGAAGGACAGACCATGTCCCTCTACAGACAGCAAGTGGCATCAGTGGGGGAGGTGGTGGAGGAAGGGCCGGACATGGGCCCTGGGGTCCAGGGGCAGCCGTGAGCGTGCAGCCTCTTGAGAGCAGAGCAGGCAGATCCTCTCATTTATTACAACACAAATGGCCAAAGGTGCAAAAATACTGATTGTTGCTGGGAGACAGTATTTTGGATAAACTCTAACACCTCAAAAATATTTCAAAACACATGTATTAATGCAAAAGTTTTGTGTTACCACTTTGGGCCACCAGCTTGTGAACTCTGGTTTTTCCAGAAGAATCCAAGGAAGGAGGGCAGGTGGCCTTCTTCCAGCCCCAACTAGTGGAGGTGCCAGAGGCTCACACTGCCGGCACTAGCGCGGTACTCGTGCTCATCCACACGGTCACCCTGCGGTGGCCCAAAGGATCTGACCCCTGTCACTGCTGCTCCACACTGCCTCTTAAGCCCCGGCAGGCAGCTGCATGCCTGGGCGCCCTCGACCTGGGGCTGGGAGGGTCACAGCCCGGAGAGCAGTCGGAGCTGCCTTGGCTGGTCGGGCAAGGTGCCAACACCAGCCTCAGCGTCAAACTGTACTCAGGATGGACCAGGGACCTGCCCCGGGGCTGTCCCCCCGCTCCCGCCCTGACTAAGCAGGAAGGGAGCCGAGGCCTACCTCTCGGTGAGTGCTGGCTGGCAGGGCGGGAATGGTTTCGTCCACAGTGGCTAGTAACGTCCTCAGGGCCAAGCCGACTTCCTAGCAGACAAGACCACACCCAGCGTGAGCGCAGGCGAGGAGCTCCAGGCAGAGCAGCAACTTGTGCGCGTTTCCTCTTCACCACTTTAAGGAAGGTTTCTGTGTTTTTCTTCCTCAGCCCAATCCTGTCAGTTATCAGGCAATTTCCCCCAAAGATCCAGATCTCTGAATAATCAAAATGCGGCCCATCCATACAATGGAATATTCAGCCTTAAAGAGGAGGCGGCTCTTAACACAGGTACAACATGGATGGGCCTTAAGGACATTATGCTCAGTGCGATGAGCCAGTCACAACAGACAGATACTGCATGATCCCACTTCCTTAAGGTGCCTGGGGGCGGTCAAGTTCAGAGAGACAGAAAGGAGTGGGCCGGGGGCCGGGAGTTGTTTGATGGGGACCGGGTTTCAGTATTGTAAGGCGGAGGGCTCTGAAGATTCACTGCGTAACAGTGTGTATGTACTTAATGCCCCTGAGCTGTAGTTCAGCAGTAAAAGTGGTTAGGATGGTAAATCTAATGCTATATGTATTTTACCATAATTTCAAAAAAGCATATTCAAGTATGTTTCAGATACGCTGGCTTAAAGCAGTCCGAGCGCTCTGGCACACTGCACACCTCCAGGCTCCTGCTGCAGCCAGGGCACAATCAGTGGGGGCCACTGCCAGCCTGGCCCTGACCCTCGCCTCTGGTCTCACAGCGCCCTGCTGTCTGCCAGGACACTGTTCCATGAACACAGCTTGGCAGGGTTAGTCTGGTGGCATATTTTCATTTCTGTCTTTCTACCCTTATTCAAATATTTCAGTGAGCCCCACGAACCCACCCCTCAGCTGAAGAAAAGCAGGACAGGTGACCTGCGGCAGGCCTGTGTGCCGCTGCCCCTCACCCAGAGTGCAGCGTCTGACCTGGCAGACCGTGCCCAGCCTGTCCCGCTGAGCTCACCACCGACCTCACACAGGCCGTCTGCGAGACGCTGCTGTCTGCAGGGACAGTGTCAAACAGCCAGCACTCTCCTGCCGTTTGCTGTCCTCACCCCAGGCTGTGTGTGAGCCAGAATCACTAAACCTCTGCTGCTCCGGGACATGCCCAGCCTGGAGTCAGGGTCAGGAGCAGCAAGTCCCCTGATCGTGGCTCTGGCCTGATGGGGCCACAGGGGGGACTCCAAGCACGGCCGCTGAAGCATTGGGCCCGACTGAGGGCGGTGCAGCTTCCCCCGCTAACGGGAGCCTTCTCTGCAGGTGCGGGGCTGCGCTTTACCTTCACCATGGGGACGTACTCCTCCGGCGGGGCTGGCTGGATCTTGCTGGACATTTCGATGACAGCTTTTACCAGGCCGGTCACGTTCTCGTACACCCTGTCATTGGAGCGGTCCAGGTTGGCAGTGGGAGGGGGGCTGATTTCCTGGGGCTGAAGCTGCCAACACAGAAGCCAGTTACCTTTCTGTTCCCCAGCAGATGGCGGCATAGCGCAGCAGCTAGCTTAGAAAGAGACTTTAAGAGAGATCAAAGCAGATCACACAATTGATTTTCTTGTCTATACGGGCTATTGTTCAGTTTGAGGATGACAGTAATTCATCCAAATGACAAATCAATGAGGCAGTAATTTTTTCTGACTTTGAGCTCAGTTAAAGGAAATGAGATGGAATCATACACATTATACTAGAAGCCCCAGATTCTTTTAAAGAAGTGATTCCATGTACCCCCAGAATCATCCACCAAGAGAAAGAACCCACATATTTTATATCCTTCTGACACTATTAGAGAAAGCTGGCTTAAGGGGCTAAGTGTTCTATGTCAAGACTCCAAAAGTTTCCACATAGTTTGAATAATGCAGCGAAAAACTGTACGGCTCAGCTTAGCTGCCTTCAAATCACCATATGGAATGTGCTCCTTTCATGATTACAGAAAGCTGACAAATGCGGGTCTTCTTAGGTGGACACCGTCTGTTGCATAACACTGCTGAAGTGCCCTGCACGGCGCTTCCTGGTGGAGGGGCCCCAGCTCCCCACAGGCCGGCACCGAGACACCGGCAAACGTAACCCAGGATGACCTGAGCACGGAGGGAAGCACACAGGCCTGCAGGAAGTCTCCAGCAGCATCACGATCCCAGTCGGCTACGCTAGCAAACAAGAACAGTGTGTGCGCGTCTTAAGAAGACCACACAGCAGCACAGACCACTCATCCACGAATCTGCTGCCAGGGCTCCCTCTAAAATGCTAGGTGCCTATTCTTGACCCCTCAGGCTGACTCTGCCCAAGGAACCTGCAACCTGGGTGTCTCATGTCGGGGGTGAGACGGGAAGGGACAAGAACAGTTCCACCACTGCAAGACAGTCACGTCTCCCTCTGGCCAACGTCAACGCTGGCTCTGGCGAGGAAGCCGGCAAGAGCACCCTCCCCAGGCTTCCCAATTTCTGGTCCCGAGTCACATGCAGAGTGCTGGGAGTGATAAAGAGCCAGACAGACACACAGACACAATGTGCTTACCCTCCATGGCTATTGTTGAGCAGAAGGTGAGGAAAAGTTAAAGGAATTTATCAGAGAAAGGGAAAAAAGAAAAACAATATTAATAAAGGCAGCAGACAAAACCCCCGTAAAAACACATGAGCAGAACAAAAAGGAGAGCGGTTCGAAGCTGCCCATCAGCTCTCAGTTGGCTGGCCACCGAAGCGTAGCTGCAGGGCCACCCGGTCAGGGTGCCCAGACTCTCAGTGAAGAGGCCTGACATGCACCATGCTTGTGTTCATGAAATATATGAAGAAAATGACATGCAAAGCCCAAGAGTGACAATCTGGCAGCTGTGGGGTCTTCAAAAAGAAAGAAGGCGTATATATGCTTGTCACCACCGGAGGTCACCCACCGGACTCCTGAGTGGCTCAGGAGAGACCTGTTGCCTGCGTCCCTGGCTTCCAGGCCCAGCACTTAGGGATGCAGGCTTGTCATTAGCCAGAGTGCCACCATAAAGATCCTGGCTTGTGACTGTGTTTAAAACAATAGGAGCTTATTTTAAAAAACGAAACAAACTAAAAAACCCCTTCTCTTGAACCAATTTTTATGGTTAGCTTCCTTTAAACTTACAAGTTTTATTCAGTGTTTTTTTCCTCTGTTGTTTAAACCAAGGCTATCCCACTACAACTGAAAAGGCAAAACCAACTGGGAGAAATGTGGCCATTTTGTCCTCTCCTTAAAATTTTCTGAAGAAAGTATCCCTTTTGGTATGTAAGCTTAGCAGAATCTGTAATCTTGAGGCCTAGGAAATTTGTTTCTCCTGTGCACTAGAAAGAGGGAGGTCATTTGCAGCCTCCTCCTCATTTCCAAGAGATGAAGTCCCTAGATTTGACTTGCAGCACTGAGAGTCGGGTGCAGTCCTGGCTCAGCACGGCAGGATGTGCCGGCTCAGACTAGGGCGACGTAAAGGGCAGGGGCTCCCTGAGGGTGGGCACAGGCACAGCCCACCAGGAAGACCTGCAACTCCAGACTCCAGGAGGTCAAGGGCAGATGGTCCCGGCCTGTTGAAAGCCTCTGCTCTTTCACTGGCCCTTTGCCCAGCTCTTGTCCTGAGAACCCTGCCACGGTGCTTCCAGGGACAGTCACAGTGACACTCTCCGAGTGAAATGGCTCTGGAGAGACATTTGTTCCTCTTTTCCTATCTTCTGGAGCTTGACGACTTGGAGACCCTTTGTCAATAGGTGAGTCACCACCTGGTACGGAGGCAGCCAAACCAGCCGCTCAGGAGGGGGCGGAAAGACTCAGGGAACTCAGAACAACACGCACAGTCACCAAGGAAAACAGGCTGGTTTCTGGCTGAATGTCACTGGGCAAACCACTGCGGCTATGCCCAGCTACAGGTAAGTGTTTCTGTATTGACGGTCTAGTTCTTTTGGCTGGATCTGATGACCTCTACCAAACACAGAGACACATACCTCATACTTTTTAATTACTAAAATATCTTCCCTCAACACATTTTATATACTACTTCTACTAAGATTTCTACCTGCTTAATACCCTCTATTATGGTACATCACAATTATATTCATTCATGTCATTCTAACTGTAAAAAGTGAATGTTCACAATCAATTCCAAGCTGGAATCTGATCTACTTCTAAGTTGGCTTTTCATTGTAATACAAGCCATTTTTAAAGTCTGATCTTGTGGCTTACAAAAATGAAAAAGTCCATTAACTTAGTTCCTCCCTCTTCCCTTTCTGACTCATGTCAAGACACTGCCGCGCCTACCCAGAGGGCACCCTGCGTGTGCTGGGGGAGCTGCTGGGGGGCACCCTGGGCGTGGAGAATGGGCCCCGCTACAGGACCCGCACTCATTCCCAGGAGCTGGCGCCCTGCCAGCGCACCCTGGGAGCCAGCGCCCTGGCCCTTGGCACCTGTGCTTCAGCCCGCAGGCTACAGGCTGGTCTCGCCAGTGCCACCCTGCTCACTCCATGATCGCTGTACTCTGGGCTGGTGCCCGGAGATGGCAGTTCTCTTCTAGGACTGCGTGACTCTGAGATGGCCCTGCGCCCACTTCAATGTAGGAATTTACCCGTCAGCTTTGGAAGGGAGCCTCAGACCAGAAACATCTAGACAGCCAGGCCCACAGCTAAATGCTGGCTCAGCTAGAGGAGGCCATAACCTAGAAAATGCCCTTTAACATGTGACCCTTGGCCATCTCAGGTGAGAAGTGGGAGTAACAGTACCACCATCAATCCTCTGAGACCAATGTGAGGATTTAAAATATATGGGGCAGGTTCTGTCACAGCGCCTGGCACAGGGCAGGCCCTCGACATACGATGGTTATTAGTGAACAGTTTGTCTTAGCTGGTCTCACAGTTACCGATTCTAAGCACCACCACGATTAATATGCACCTTTTTTATGTGCCTCTAAGAAAGAAAAAATACACTGCCTGTTAAACCAACACACCATCCTGATTTTAGAGACATTAAAATGTAAAAAACAAAGTGCATCAGAATTGAGAGCCAGCACTCATTCTGAAAGTAACTGACCTCCAATGGGAAGTGGAGAGCCCCTTACCTGGAATGGGCGTGACAGGGGGCAGCCGCTCCCAAGGTGCCCCAGTGACCAGTACAGTTGGTGGGGACCTAGGTGGGTCAGGGGCCCCGCTGGCCCTGCTCACACCCGCCCAGGGCAGTATCACTGAAGTGCCCCAAGCCAAGGAGAAGCTCCAGTCACCTGCACCTGAGCCACATGCTCCCTCATCTGAGGGCCGGCCCCAGACAGCACACCACTTGGACATTGCACGCCACTTTTATGTGACTCTGGCCCTAGGAGGAAGTGATGGCCATTTTCCACTGAGCCACACTCACAAATCTGGGGACAGTGAGCCTACCGAAGGTCTCCCTCTCCCCAGGCATCCTGGTTTAATTCATTTTTAAAACCAGAAGCTATCCCAGCACTGTATTCCAGAGAAACACCCTGCCTGACAAGAAGAAGATGTATATAGTAGGTTGGGGTCTGACTGAGGCCCTAGAATTCATCACGTGAGAGCAAAGTAGAGAAAAGTTTTCCTATAAAGCTTGTTCCTGACCCTCAGAGGGGCTCAGGCCAGACCCCGGTGATGCCAAGACCCCACGGCAGTCCCACCCTGCACGGTCCCACCCTCAGCCCTGACAAAATCCACTTCATGCCACAGGGAAAGGGCTCTACAGAGGACGCTCACCTTGACGCCCTCATTGTAACTGTCGCTGGGGCTGCTGAGACTGGCGAGGCCACTCAGGTGGCTGGGGGCCCCGGGGCGCGGGGGCTTCTTTGGTGGGGCTGCAGGATCTGTTAAGAGAATGAGCCCCATTAAGAGAAAGTAAACAGCCCCAGGCCAGACCAAGCATGGACTTGTGTTACTGTAACAGACACTGATCTTGGAGAGGGCTTCTCTGGGGGCATTTTTGATGTATTATAGCAATAAATTCTGTGCCCCGATATTCTAATCACACATGGAATTTGGTAAACATCATGGTTGTTATGGTTTGTACAGGGAAAAGTGTTAAAAAATCATGAGGTATTTATTCCAAAGATAAGAAACTATATACATTTGAAACCTGCTCCCTCCAAATAATATAAACTTCCTGACACACAATCCATTTCTTCACTTACCTGGTTTGCCGACAGGCTGATAAATGTGTTGGTTTCCAGTCTGTGGAGAAGAAGAGTTTGGTCAGTGCAGCTGTGTGTGCAGCGGGGGAATGGCCTCCCTGCTGACCCTCTCTGTCCACCCTGAACATCTGCACTAAATGCTGGATTCAAAGACCACCGTGGGGTCTGCCTTCAAGGGTCTGGTTGTGGGTAGAGGACTCAGGCAAATAAGTAAATAATGCCAACAGGGCTGGGATGAGGGCTGTGAGGGGAGCAGCACAGGGCATAGTGGGGTCACAGGGAGGGGAGGTCATGACCCATTTAAAGTTTGCTTAGAAGAAATTATGCCCACAGATGTCTCCAGCTGCCCTTTCAAGAGTGTGGAATCCAGGCCTTCCCTGAGCCTGTGTCCTGTGCTCTGGAAGGCCCCTCCCACTCTCCTGGCCACGTGCAGGTAAGAGGAGAGGCACTGAGGAAGAGTGAGGGTCAGGAGGGACACAGAAGCGCTGAGGCATCTGGGTGCTCCACGTGCCTGTGTCCCAGTGACCCGGAGCCCAGCGTCAGGACTGTGTCGCATCACGTCACTTCCAGGCTGAGCCAAGCAGCCAGACCATCACCCTCGATCCTGCCCCACAGACAGCACAGAAGACAGTTCCACTAAAGACCAGCCCTGACTGAGATCGCATGTAAAACAACGTATCCTGGTCAAACTGGTGAAGTACTTTTAGAACTAAAATCTATTTCTGAGAGGAGAGACTTCCCTTGCTTATTTTAAGATCAACTGGTTAGACTATACATGATTTAAGCATACTTATATGTAAGTATGTTTGCTGCTAAGAAGAGGTCCCCTTCTCCACATCTGAGGACTGTGAAATGCCACACACAATTAGAACCGCTCCTCCCCCAGAATCGGGCCACTTTCAACATGCCGCTTGCCATTCTTGACTTTAAATAGACTTGCAAAACCCTCAGGGCTGGCAAGTGTGCAAACGAGAATCCCTGACAACTTACTGTTGTGTAGCTCTTTACCATTCGCCTGTCATTTATTTATTTGACAGCTGTGAGTGCCTGTTTTGTTCC